CCTGTCCCATCCCTTGTTCCTTGAGGAGCAGAGCCCGACCCCCTGGCTCCAACCTCCTCTCAGCAGCTGCAGAGCCAGCAGGTCTCCCCTCAGCTCCTTTGCTCCAGGCTGGACACCCCCAGCTCCCTCAGCTGCTCCTGCTCACACTTGTGCTCCAGCCCCTTCCCCAGCTCCCCTGCCCTTCTCTGGACACACTCCAGCCCCTCCATGTCCTTCGTATCCTGAGGGGCCCAGACCTGACCCCACAATTCCAGGTGCCCCCTCCCCAGTGCCCAGCACAGGGGGACAGTCCTGTCCCCTGACATCCCTGCTCCTGCTGGCCACACCAGTGCTGACACAAGCCAGGATGCTGGTGGCCTCTTGGCCACCTGGACACACACTGGCTCATACTCAGCAGTTGTCAACAACCACCCCCAGGTCCTTTTCCACTGGGCACTTTCCAGCCCCTCTGCCTGAATCCTGGAGCTTTGCCTGGGGTTGTTGAGCCCCAAGTGCAGGACCTGCCAACCCTTCCCTGACCACCACCCAGGTTTATATGGTCACCATTGCCAAAGGACCCTCTTTCATATGAACCAACATGAAAATCCCCAAGAACCTGCAGAAACAGAAGACACCCACGTGGCCCTGTGCCAAGTGGCAGCAACAGATATTTTTCAACCCAATTGTGCATAAACAATATATGGCCACTATTAAAAAATAGGCAAAGATAATTCAGTCCCTCCTCTCTAATGGTGGTGCTGATTTATCAAAACACATCCTCTGTTGTCGTGTGGGAAGAGGAGAAAAGCTGGTGTGTTCCTTGTGATTCATTAACTGAATGGGTAATGAAACCCTTTCAAGTAACTGTTTCCTACACATCTATTGACAACTCCCAAGACTAAACTGGTGCCCTAAAAATATCCACTTCTGGGCATTTTTCAAGGGAAGTACCTACGTAGTAGGAACACACTGAGCATCAGTTTCACCCATTGTAAAATAACTTGGAATCTGACTTTCAGCTCGTCTGGAGCAGTGGGGACAAGAGGAAGGGAAAAAGAAATGCTTGGAGAAGGAGAATCTGATGAGATCAGTGGAAACAAAGGAGGGCAGCCAGTTCTGAAGTGCTCAGAGAGACTGTCCATGTTCTAACACTTGTCAGCAGTGACTGGCTGGTTTTAACTCCAGGGCTTCCCTCTGCATTGGAAATTTATCATTCCAGGGATTTATTATTTCTTTTTTTTTTTTTGCCCTGTGAAAAATCCCTGCCTGGTGGGGGAAAAGTCCTTCTGCTGTGCTTCAGGTCATGGGCTTAATTCAGAGAGGTGAAAAATGGCTTCAGATTCATTTTCTCTCTCACGCTTGGAGGACCCTCATCTCATTTCTTTGATCAGACAGAGCCTAAGGTCTCAACCAACTCCTACCAGGGACTCTGAAGCATCTTCCCCCTCTAGAAACAGAGTCCAAACATGCTCTGATGGAGGCCCAAAAATCAGTGTTATACAAATATCTTTCACTCTTACTGACCCTCCTATTTGCAGAGGAGGTTGTTGGGAGATAAACTCCTGAGACCTCTGTTTGCCTACCAGAGACATTGGGGCTCTCAGCTGTCATCACTGGTTTTGCTTTATTTTCCTGCTTCTCTTGCTGCAAGTTTTCCTTCACCTTCCCTGCATCCCCACAGACCTTCCCTGCTCTACCACCCCAATGGATCATCCTGGGCTTTTGCCCTGTCTTAGAAATATAGAATCACAGACTGATTTGGGCTGGAAGGGAGCTTAAAGATCATCCAGTCCCACCCTCTGCATGGGCAGGGACACCTCCCACCAGCCCAGGCTGCTCCAAGCCCCATCCAACCTGCCCTTCAACACTGCCAGGGATGGGGCAGCCACAGCTTCTCTGGGCAGCCTGGGCCAGGGTCTCACCACCCTCACACTAAATAGTTTCTTCCTAAGATCGCATCTCAGTCTCCCCTCTTCCAGTTTTGATCCATTCCCCCTCATCCCATCCCTCCCTGCCCTTGTCCCTGCCCTTGTCCCTGCCCTTGTCCCCAGCTTTCCTGGAGCCCCTTCAGGCACTGGAAGGTGCTCTAAGGTCTCCCTGGAGCCTTCTCTTCTCCAGGCTGAACACCCCAACTCTCCCAGCCTGGCTCCAGAGCAGAGCTGCTCCAGCCCTGGGATCATCTTTGTGGTCTCCTCTGGACTCTTTCCAACAGCTCCATGTCCCTCTTATTTTGGGGACCCCAGAGCTGGACCCAGCCTTGCAGGGGGGTCTCAGCAGAGCAGAGGGGACAATCTGCTCCCTGGCCCTGCTGGTCATGCTGCTGGCATTGCAGCCCAGGACATGGTCGGTTTCTGGGATGCCAGCTCACATTGATGGCTCATGTCAAGGTCTTGTTTGAGAGGGTGGAAATGCAGAGTGACTTCACCAAAGCCAACAAAGAGGCGACCTTGCAAAAGGTGTGGAGAGAGACCCACACGCTCTCACATGCAGGCAGGTTTTACTGTAGCTCTGATCCCCACCCCGCGAAGGCAGTGTCGCTGCTTAGAAGGCTGGCATACTGGGAAGGACTGGTGTGGGTGAGGGAAGCCAGAGCACTGCTATGGGGCTTTGAGAACTGTACAGCTGTGAGTCAGCTGGGCAGGGCCTGGGGTGAACACGGCACAGATGCAGCCTAAGCCTCACTTGACCCTCCAGAGGCCTGAGGAAACTCTCTGCTCACCGCAGAGCATCTCGGGTGCAAGGGTTGGTGCAGAGCACCCAGGAGACCTGGCAGGGTCACTGGCAGTGCTTGATCATGGTTTTAAAAGAAGGTTCATTAGAAGAGATCCTACCACACTGGTGGATCCACAAGTAGCTGCACTCCCTAATGAGTCCTGTCTTCCTAGGGCTTGGGTTGGTTAATTCACCTTATTAAAGCGTTCTAAGACGCCCAGGCTTCATTTCCTTCAACACAGGAGCTTGGCAGAGCAGGCTCTGGGGCTCGGGTGAGACAGGCGAGCAGGGAAAGGCCATTTTGGCCCTGCTGGGGCACAGAGAGCAAAGCTTGAGGTCCCCATGGACGTGCGGGCGGTGGGGACGGGCGGGAGGAAGGCAGGGATGAGGGTCTCACAGTGGGGAGGTGCTGGGGGTGAAGAGGCCAGCACCAAACCCCACCAGCACCTCCCACCCACCCGGCAGGGGCGGAGAACGAGGTGACGCAGGTGAACCGGTGCCTGGACGCGGCCAAAGCCTGCAACGTGGACGAGACGTGCCAGCGGCTCCGCACCGAGTACGTGTCCCTGTGCATCCGCCGCCCGGCCCGCGCCGACTCCTGCAACCGCGCCAAGTGCCACAAGGCCCTGCGCAGGTTCTTCGACCGCGTGCCCCCCGAGTACACCCACGAGCTGCTCTTCTGCCCCTGCGAGGACACGGCGTGCGCCGAGCGCCGGCGCCAGACCATCGTCCCCGCCTGCTCCTACGAGGCCAAGGAGAAGCCCAACTGCCTGGCGCCGCTGGATTCCTGCCGGGAAAACTACGTCTGCAGGTAAAGCCGGCACTCGTTGGGGTGGTGGTGGAATCATTCAGGTTGGGAGGGACCTGAAGGGTCATCCAGTTCCACCCTGCCATGAGCAGGGAACCACTAGATCAGGCTGCACAAAACCTCATCCAACCTGGCCTTGAAAACCTCCAGGGATGGGGCATCAACAACCTCCCTGGGCAACCCATCCCAGCTCCTCACCACCCTTAGAGTGGGGAATTTCTTCCCAATATCTCACCTAAATCTCCCCTCTCTCAGTTTAAAACCATCACCCCTTGTCCTGTCACTGTCTTCCCTGATGAAAAGCCCTTCCCCAGCTTTCCTGGAGCCCCTTTCAAGCACTTGTACAAGACATGCAGAGCTGTCCCTCAAACCAGCCTGGGGCTTGAGCACCCACGACCACTGGGTGCCCAGAGCCAACACCCTCACCCAAAACCTCCATCCCACCCCAACCCACCGACTGGCCATCGTCCTCCCCATCACCCATGTCCTCCTCTCATACTCTACACAGAAGGTGTTACCAGGCAGGAGCAGATCTGTTTGTGCTGGAGGTTTTCAGACATTTTCCGTGGGTTTCCTTGGCTTTGCTTCTAAAGAAAGACCTGCTATGGAAACAGCCCCAGGAAGGTGCAGGATAAGCAGGGATGTGGTCTGGGGTCCTTGCAGCCAGTTTCACCAGTCTGCCTGCTCACTCTCCCAGTTCCCCAGCCCACAGCATCTTACAGGAGCATAACAGCCACACGCCCTTGCAGGTACCTTAAAATCGTTGCTTTATTTTGTTTTTAATTATCAGAAAAAAAATATATATTTTAAAAATCTACCCTTCTGCTGCAAGGCTGGACCTTCTGGTGATGGCCACAGGACTCTCAGAGCTGTCACTCCAGGTCCACCACGTCGTACGTGGCCAGGGTGGTTTGCTCCTGTGCTTCCATTTCAGCTCCACTCACGCACAGACCCATCCCAAGGTGCACACTCACAGGCCTACCCTGTCAGTGGGGTTTTGTGCTACTTTCACCCCTGCTCCTCAAAAAAGTCATTGGTATTCCAGAAGGTGAATCCACATACAGCTCCCAGGAGTGGAGCCCATCCATCAGGAAGAGATGCCAAGACCAAAACAGCAGCCAAACTGCACCAACCATGGTGGCCCCAGCCCAGTGCCCTGGGTGCAGCTGGGACCATGAGCAGACACACTTGGAGAAGAGCAAGTGTAGGACACATCTCCCAGTACTGTCCCAGTCTCTAATTATTGTGGGCTTTGGGGCTTCCTGAGCTGAACTTCCAGCAGCCACCTCCTACCAGCACATCACCTTTTAATTACAATTTTAAAACTGTACCTTTTCATCAAGGGAGGAGAGAGTAGCAACATCCTCTTGGAAGGATGGACTGGTGCTGATACCCTCACCCCTCTGCACCCCAGAAAGGTGGATGAAGGAGAAGAACTGAGCTGTGTATCTGAAGCTGACTCTGAAAGATGCAAAGCCCCTGAGCCACATCAGATCCTGCTCAGATCTCCCCCTGTTACCCAGAGAATCTGCAATGGAGGAGAATTGTCCTCTCCCTAACAAGACAAGTGGGCCCAGAGGGGAAGAAGAGGTTCAAAGTGGAGAGTGTTGCTTCCCAGGAGGTTGGAAACTGTTTCCTGCCATCAGCACAGCTGTTAATTGTCTGGTTCTTTGGTCTCTGAATATATAATATAAAACATCCTCCAGAGACACGGCGGGAGCAAGGGGTTGATGTGTGACCCGGTCAAAGCCAGCAGTGCAGAAACCACAAGGAGAGCCAGGAACAAATCATGGCACTTTAAAGAAACAGAGTAAAATATTCCAGGACTAACCCTGCCTGCACAGCTTAGTCCTCCAGCAGCTCCTCCATAGCTGCAACTTCTTGAATTTCCCAGCTTGGAGGGGTGAGTTCTACAAACATGAATTATACAGGCCCTGCAACTGGTGCCTCCATCCCATAAACAATCATAAAGTCCCAGGCTGGTTTGGGTTGGAAGGACCTTCAAGACCATCCAGTCCCAACCCCCCTGCATGGGCAGGGACACCTCCCACCAGCCCAGGCTGCTCCAAGCCCCATCCAACCTGCCCTTCAACACTGCCAGGGATGGGGCAGCCACCTTAAACACAGCCCTTTGTCTCCTCTGTTCCAAAATACTTCAAAATACCAACACCTACAGCAGCAGAGGGCTTTGCAGACAGGTTCCCCTCTGCAAACACCAGCAATGTGCTCGTACGTCCCTTTTTGCCCCCAATACCTGCACTAACAGGTCCCCTTTTGTGCTCTCACCCCATCAGGTCGCGCTACGCCGAGTTCCAGTTCAACTGCCAGCCATCCCAGCAGGCTGCCAGTGGCTGCCGGAGGGACAGCTATGCTGCCTGCCTGCTGGCCTACACTGGGATCATAGGTAAGAGTCTGTGTCCCTCAGCCAGCCTCTCTCCCACCCTTTGAGCAGCAAACATCTCCTCTGGGTGGGGAATGTCTCCTACTCCAGCCAGTGAAAAGCCAGGAGGATGGCAAGGTGGGGAGCTGGGACTGGGATCTCCAGGAGGTGCTGGGCTTTCTCTCTGCTTTGACTGGAGAAGGAGCCTAAGCCATGAGCACAGGGTGAATTCAGGGTGGAAGCTGCAAGATCTCAGCCTCTTGCTCAGGTGGAAACAGACAGGCTGTCCCAAGGCACGTGCTCTGTCAGGGGTTCCCACTTCCACGGCCAGTGATGTCACTGGAAATCACCATCCACTGCCATCTTGCTGACATCAGAGGGTGTGGAACTGGGTGTTCAGACCCTGCAGAGACCCAGCTGGCAGCTGTTACCACAAACATGGCCAGAGTCCAAAGAGAAGCACCAGAGCCATTGGACTTGGTCCATCCTGACCTATGGGATAGACTGACAGACTTTTGAGTCGAGATTTCATTCTGGTTTAATCTTTCCTTGTTGTCTCTGACCATTTTAGAGACTGAGTGTGGCTTTTTCACTGACAGCACAGAAACCTTCACTCACGTTCATACACAGGTTTTGAGTGGTATCAGGGAACCCGAGTTCCCAGGAGCTGCCCACTCCTTGGGCTTAGGGCACCTTCTCATTGACTGAAGGCTTTCTGGGTGGTGGGCTAAACAAAAGGGTTGCCACTGCCCTTCTTCTCATCCCTGGGAGCAAAACAGACCTGTGACACCAGCACTTGAAGGTGTTTTCTCGTGCTGCCATCACAGTGGGGGTCAGCTGAGGCTGCAAGCAGGACAACCCAAGTGAGCAACAAGGAAGGAAATCACTGTCTCTTCTTGAAGTGCCAGCCTTGTGGTGGTAACACTTCTCCATCCTTCCCGACAGGCAGCCCCATCACACCCAACTACATTGACAACTCAACTTCCAGCATAGCTCCCTGGTGCACGTGCAACGCCAGTGGCAACAGACAGGAGGAGTGTGAGACCTTCCTGCACCTCTTCACCGACAACATCTGTCTCCGTAAGTATCCCCCACAAGCTGGGGAGACTTCTTGGGGTGAGGGTGTGAAGGTGGTCTCAAGAGTCCACCAGTGTCCAGCTCCCTGTGCTTTCAACAGAGAATAGCTGGACTTGATGATCTTTTCCAACCTTGACAACTCTATGATTCTAAGAAGACCCCTGGGCAGGTGATGGAGCCACGGAAGGATGGAAGAGGGATGTGTGTCCTTTCCCTTGCCCTGACAATGCTTTTCTCCATCTCTCCCACACAAAGAAAATGCCATCCAGGCCTTTGGCAACGGGACCTACCTGAATGCAGCCGTGGCCCCATCCATCCCCCCCACCACACAGATGTACAAGCAGGAGAGAAACGCCAACAGAGCCGTGGTGACCCTCAGAGAGAACATCTTTGACCACCTCCAGCCCACCAAGGTAGGAGAGGCCTGACCTGGCCCTAAGAGATGCTTGACCATGTCTACACCTCCTCCATGCTCTCCAGCTCTAGTCACCTCTTCCATCTGTGTCATTTGCAAACATCCAACCTCCCTTCCACCTCCTGGAGTCGCTGATTCACCCTCTTCTTCATGCCCTAACTTATTCTCCTCCAACATCAAGAACAGGGATGCATGCTCCTACCCCTGACCCTGCCCTCCTTCCTCTTGGTCACCATCTCTTTTCCTTCATGGATGCTACAGAGAGATATGGATTTTTTTTAGAAGTACTGGGGATATCCATGGGCTTTTCAGGAGAGCAGAAGAGGAATCAGGACCACTGATGTGGCTCCTCATCCTTCTGCACAGCAGCTGCCTGGCCTCAGACAAGCATTTCAGCTACCTGGGACACAGGTTCTTCCCTTGATAGGTGAGGATCCTTGAGGCTCAACTGTCTAAGGATTCCTAAGCACTGGAAAAAGTCATCTGAAAGATTCTAGTCATCAGCAAATAGTTAGTACCAAAAGGATATGAAATTGAAATTATTTTAAAACAAGTAACAGATGAATTATGGATGATGCCAGCAGGAGGCATTAAATATTTTATTCTTACACTTAAAAAAAAAAAAAAAAGACCTTGATTTGCCCCCCCCTAGAGTAATGTCCAGACTGAATTAATTTATTATTGAATAATTAATAGTGACCCTGGTTTGCTGAGCGTACAGGTAACAGAAGCTGGCAGTTAATGAGACTCCAAGGATGGGCTTTTCTCTGGGCTACCTGATACCTTCAGGGTATCTCTTCTGCACATGAAGGGCCTTTTAAGCTTCTTTCCTGTCTCTTTAGCTTGGCGTTTCCCTGTTGACCTCCCTCCCTCCACCCTGATTTCCCAAAGCAAAAGAAACAATGAATTATGGATGATGCCAGCAGGAGGCATTAAATATTTTATTCTTACACTTAAAAAAAAAAAAAAAGACCTTGATTTGCCCCCCACTAGAGTAATGTCCAGACTGAATTAATTTATTATTGAATAATTAATAGTGACCCTGGTTTGCTGAGCGTACAGGTAACAGAAGCTGGCAGTTAATGAGACTCCAAGGATGGGCTTTTCTCTGGGCTACCTGATACCTTCAGGGTATCTCTTCTGCACATGAAGGGCCTTTTAAGCTTCTTTCCTGTCTCTTTAGCTTGGTGTTTCCCTGTTGACCTCCCTCCCTCCACCCTGATTTCCCAAAGCAGCAGGTGGGAAGATCAGGAATGTGACCTCAGCTTCCCCCGCTGCTTTTCAGGGCGTTGGTGGCCACACACAGCACAGGAGCAGTTTCATCAGGCCATAAACTTTGCACCCAGGAGGTCTGGGGGAGCTGCCTCTAGCCAGTGCACCCCAGACCTTAGTGCAATCCGAGGAGTGGCCTGAGGTCCAGACTTTGCCCTGAGAGCTGCATCCTGGAAGTGATGGAGAAGCTGTGAACCTCCCCCATCACTGAGAGGCCAGCCCAGATGGTCAAATCCTGCTGCCACCAGCAAGTGGGACACTGGAAAAAGCAATTGTAGTCAGGGATGGCTCTACCATCCCCACCATCTGGGGCTCTGAGCAAGCTGGGCTGGTGGGAGGTGTCCCTGCCCATGCAGGGGTTGGAACTGGATGATCTTGAAGGTCCCTTCCAACCCAAACCAGTCTGGGATTCTATGATACCACGTTACCCACCTCCAGGTGACAGCAACACATCCCTCTGCTGAAGTGGGAATGCTGCTGGGATGTGGGCCCAGCTGGCACTGCAAGGGAAACTGGGGAGTTGGGTCTTGACTTTGGACTCAGCTCCAAGCCCAAGAGTGTTCAGTGTTTAGGGAAGGTGGTGGCCCTGGACCTAAGAAGGAGGCTACGATGTCAGCCCATCTGCTTCACATCTTCATAGCAGCACAGAGACTTGGCTCCTAAGTGTCTCAGTTGGCAACTCATGGAAATGAAAGTCTCCAGGAAAGCTAATTCTTGGCCACAGATGTCAATGCCCTCTAAAAGGAGAAGGGGGCCACCACTGCCCCATGTCCCTCAGCACCACACCTACAGGGCTTGGAAACCTCTCCAGGGATGGGGACTCCCCCCCTGCCCTAGGCAGCCTGGGCCAGGGACTGACAGCCCTTTCCAGGAAGGAATTGTTCCCCAGATCCAACCTCCACCTCCCCTGGCACAACTTGAGGCCGTTCCCTCTTGTCCCAGGGCTTGTTCCTGGGGAGCAGAGCCCGACCCCCCTGGCTCCAACCTCCTCTCAGCAGCTGCAGAGCCAGCAGGTCTCCCCTCAGCTCCTTTGCTCCAGGCTGGACACCCCCAGCTCCCTCAGCTGCTCCTGCTCACACTTGTGCTCCAGCCCCTTCCCCAGCTCCCCTGCCCTTCTCTGGACACACTCCAGCCCCTCCATGTCCTTCTTGTCCTGAGGGGCCCAGAACTGACCCCACAATTCCAGGTGCCCCCTCCACAGTGCCCAGCACAGGGGGACAGTCCCTGCCCTGCTCCTCCTGGCCACACCAGTGCTGACACAAGCCAGGATGCTGGTGGCCTCTTGGCCACCTGGGCACACACTGGCTCATGTTCAGCTGCTGTGACCAACACCCCCAGGTCCTTTTCCACCGGGCACTTTCCAACCACTCCTCCCCAGTGCTCATGCACAGGAAAGTTCATTTTCCCCAGGCCCTCCATCCTCTGAGGGACCCAGGTGAGGACCATCCCCACCACTCACCCTGTGTTGCCTCCTTTCTCTTGCAGGTGGCCAGGGAGGAGAGGCTCCTGCGGGGCTCCACTCGGCTGTCATCAGGGACCTCCAGCCCAGCAGCTCCTTCTCCACTGCAGACCTGGCTTCTCTCCACCCTGGCTGTCCTGGGCCTCTCTGTGATGTGAGGCAAGGTGGGCACAAGCCTGTGCAGAGACTCTCTTTGTGTTGGTTTCTTTACAAAAAAACAACCAGACCCGTAACTTTTTCGGGGGGATGGAGGGGGAGGAGAGAGGTGAGCGTGTGGGCATCCCTTCCTCCTCCTCATCCCTCTGCCAATCTATTTGATTTTATACAATCAGCATCGTTGACAACCAGCTCATTCTTGGTCCTGGCCAGCTTTCCGCCCCACAGCTTGGTTGTTGTCTCTTCAGCTCTCTCTGGGTGGGGCCGGAGCCACAGACCATTCCCTTGGCAAAGGTGAAGGAGAAAGTCAAGAAATCAGAGCTGCAAAGGAAATGCTTTTGCCTGCTCTGGCCAAGAGGGGAAAGACTTTTTGATGGATGAGCTCTCAGGAAGTTTCCTGAAGCCCTGGCTCATGTTGGGGGCCTCTTGACAGGACATTATGGTTGGACTTGATGATCTTCAGTGTCCCTTCCAACCAGGATGATTCTGTGTCAAACGATGTGGAGTTCAGACTGTCTCCAGGGTTGCTCAGGACCCACAGGACAGCCCACCTGGTTCAAACTATAGAAGCTACAGCACCGGTGAGAAGGTGGTTGGTTTTGTTCCCAGAGAGGATCCTGGAGCACCTCTGGGGTGGGCAGAGCAACCACACTACCAGCTGGCTCAGAGGGATTACCCACCCCCTTGAAGCTGTGGCTGGGGGGCGCGCGCAAGTGCCCACCA